CTTTTAATTGATTTTAAAAGGCCTTTGGATAGCCATGGTTTATGAATTTCACCACGTTTGATTTTACTTTTTTTAAGTGGAAAACAACAATTGTAAATTTCTTTAAATTTAGTATGAAAAGCTGTATAAGCAATTTTAGGGTCATTAAAGTTCTCCACAACCGACCAGTCAACACTGCCTAATTGGTCATTAAACTTTGTCATATTAGTAGGATTTTTATCACGATACATAACAAACTGATTCGAATGATCGTCAGACCAAAATTCGTCAATATCAACGACAAAAATTGGTAGATGGTCAGAAAGATCATTAAATAATAATCCACTAGTTGTACAATTATGAATATTATTTGTGAATATATTATCTATTAGTGTTGCCGTATTTGAAGTTATTCTAGTTGGACGAGATATCAGTGGATGAAACATATTTGAATATATAGAATCTAAAAATTCGCCAGTTTTAGGACTAGATTGATGATTCATTAAGTTCAAATTAAAATCTCCCATTATATAGCATATCTTATTTTCCCGTGAAATTTTCGACATTAATTCATTGAATTGTTGTAAAAACAAATCTAAATTACGATCGGGAGGCCTATAAATGACACCAACAATAATGTTTCTGCCACGAGGCTTGCGAATCTCAATAAACAAAGTTTCCGCCAAATCAATATCAATAATTTCTAAATCACCACGCGATTCAAAATCATGATTGCTTAAAACATATAAACCCACGCCTCCTCCTTGAGTTCTATTTTGTCGGCATTTTGAAATAAAATCATAACCATCAATATTAACCAACTGCGCTGAAGAATCATTAAGCCAGGTTTCGGTAACACCTATTACAGAAAATTGCAATTCAAGACTAAACAATAGATCCGTAAGCCTATTCAGATTACACCTAAGGCTACGACTATTTACATGCATGACTGAAAAACATGATCTTGACTTAACTTTTGAATTAAAGAAATCATTGAGTTGCTCCTCAACATAGTAATTACAGTCATTAGTGTGATTGAACATATTTAAGTCTGGATCCAGATCACTGGATAGTGTAAGATAATTATCTCCTTGCAAAAAAGGATTAAAATGTAGGCAATCAAGCCTATCTGCATTATAATTAATCGAGCCATTTTGCATTTCAAATATTAATAAATTAAATTCCTGGTCATCTAACTCAGAAAACGGAAAACGTCCGGAGAAAAAGCCATAATTAAATAAATAATGTCAACAAAAACACTTATCTGAACACACAAATTAAATTATATCATCGCGCAATACTATCGTCGCCTGCCGCCTGAGCAGAAGTTGGTGTCTGACTTGTGTTATTTCTTGAATGCGTAATTAGTTTATCATAACGTAAATAAGCCACCATACCATTTCGTCTTGCTTCAAACATTTTGGGAACTAATTCGCGTCGTTTGGCTAATACTTTATCAGAAAAATCTTCCCTAATAAATATATTAGTCCCTTTAAGATGTTTCCTTTCATTTAGGACTGCATTTCTGATTTTATGGTTAGCAAACTTTGCCACAATTGGCCGCGGTTTACTAGGCGAATTTCTTGCACGGCCAACGTGATGGGCTCGTTCTATGGTATAGTTGCCTGTCTCAATACCCAATTTGGAGGAGAGAATTTCTTTTATTTTATCTTCGCTGTTTTGCCAAGATTCATTAGTGCTTTCAGGAACACCGTCGAAGCATAAGTTGTCACGACGCGAGCGATTTTCAAGGTCATCTGCTTTGCTATCTATCTCATTAACCTTGAGTGAAACTTCATCAATTATGGTTGAGAAATCTTGAAATTTAGCTGCGAAATCTGTCATCTTTTTAAAGGATTCCTCGCCAACTGATAAACTTGACTTTTTAAATTCTTCAAACTGAGCTTGAGTAAATTCTAGCGAATTTTTAAGATCTTGAACAGTTCGAATAATTTGATCTAATCGCTGGTTCGTATTATCCATGTAAACTGACAAAAAACTTTTAATACTAGATTCTTGTACTTTAAGAAGCTCTTTTACAACCGACAAAGAAATCATATCCATATCAGTATCTTTAGAACTTTGATTATTAACGGAGCTAGTTTTCGAGCGTGTGGCCGCCATTTTGCATCAGCGAATATAGATTAAAAAATTAGCAATATTAGGTCTTATTTTACTTTTAAAATAAAATCAAAGATTTTTTTTTGGAATATATTTGATTGTCATCAAACTATTCATAATATTTGTATATATGCATCAGAAAACACAAAGCCTTCATGTCTTGTAGATAGAAAAATAATTTTTAGTTAAATTAAACTTTTCTTCTTCTTAATACTTAGTTATGTTATAATCATTACTTGTAAATATTCTATTCGACTCTTAAAAATTATTCTTATGAACATTGTAAGACTAGGGACCTCTTACCAAAAAGCCTGAAAGGGTCTCATTAAGGCCCTAGCCCTTCACATTGTTATTATAGCACTGTAAATAATAATAATAAATAATTAATACATAGCCGCTAAAAGTACCTGAAATATATGTTCACATACTTACCTTTTTTCACAAATTGGGTTTTGCCTTTCACTTGGTAGAAATTATAAGCTGCCAAGCTGGTATGGCCGGGTGTATAGTCCAAATGAGAACATGTATATATAACTGATTCTGGACCTGGCCATGCAGGAACGGTTGTGAAAAATGCTAAGGTCCTCTGGCAAGAATTGAACCTGCGGCCCTGCAGGGCAACTGTTTTTGGTCAGGTTTAAAATCGGTATATATATTCTCAATTGGATTAATTATATACCTATACCAGCTTATAATATTCTCACTAGTCTCATTAGTCTATTTAATATGGTACTATACTTTTCCACTAACCAATATATTTGTGCACCATATTTGGGCTTAATGAGCCTAGGGATTGACAATTGCAGTTTTTTTGTAGAGAATAAAATATTCAAGAATATTATCTTTGGAGCTTTGTTCATTCACAGCATCCAGGAATGTAATTACAAACATAATCACACATATTTTCACATGCTACTTTGGTTTAGTATAACATGAATGTAAAGCCAATTGAATTACATCCAGTACCCAATGTTTATATGTGCCTTCATGGTACAGTGAATTAAATCCATATGGTGGCTCTTGATATACTCTGGGGATGACTAGGGATGACCACCATAGTCATCCCAAAACTGCGTGTAGAATGCATGAAATGCCAGTTTATATTAAGCTCGCCCATTCCTCTGTCATTTGTCGTGCGCCACAAGTACTCAATGAAAAGCATTGTTTATATATATATATAGAATATACCTTCTACATATGTATTTCACTGAGTGCTTGTGGCGCACGACAAATGACAGAGAAATGGGGTTTATTAATATATGATTTCATATACTGGCAATATTAAGCATATATATTCCATTTATAGCAACAATGAGACATATTTTGTTTTTTTGTATAACTGTTTAACAAATGAGCAGGAGTGTTTTATCAGGTTTATTTGTTTAAATAAAAAAATCAAGCAAAATGCATAAACAAAACCAGCTGCTTGAACCATGATGGCAGCAGGAGAAACATCCCCTGTCACCCATTCCCCATTCACCAGGTCAGCCAAGTTAGTGCCGTTGGTTTACAAAAATACACAATTGTTTATTCAACTAAATGTTTACTGTGAAAGTGAATCCTATAATTGTAATATATACAGGCATTGAATTTGACACAAAATTTATAATGAAGTGCTCATGTAGGACAAGTAACTTCAATGCAACTGCATTGTCAAAACATACTTAACAGTCAATTTAGGGCCATTATAATACTAGCTAGTAAAGGGTCATACTGTTACTTTATAAATAATAAACTAAACAATGCAAACAGAAATTAATAAACCCATGTAATTCAAATAATAGTTATAGGTAGATTCATCTTTTTCATTTACACAGCTAAAAACACACAGGTTGTTCCAAGTTTATATTGACAGGTGTGAACAATGTTATGTGGCCAACTATGAACAATTTGTTAACCATGTTGTTCCAAGTTGTTACAGTTGAACAATGCTGTAACAATAACATGTTGACAATACTGTTCATAGTGGGCCGCAGCATAACCTTGTTTACGCCTGTTGATATCAACCTGGAACAAGTTGTTGGTTTTCTCAATTTTTACGCGTGCAGGCTGGGAATTTGGAAAATGTTTCGGTTTGTTTCCCTGATGAAAGCAGTGCACAGCATTTACTAATTAAACCTTCTATTTTGACTGTTGAAAGCTATACTCAGTAAAAACACAACATAACATGAACATATAACAGGGACATATAGCAACCGCTGTCTGGGGGTTTATAAAGTTTACAACATTCAATGGTTAATTCCCCAGTTTTGGATCTGTGACTGTATTCTAAACATAGTTTTGCAGGAAAAGTCACTTTGAATAAGATGACATGCAAATCCAGGGTGCAATAATTCGCGTACCAACGTACCGGAGGTACTCCAAATTTATGGTCTGGTACTTCTTTGTTTTTAGCCAAGTACCACGTAGGTATGCGGAAATTTACTATTCGCGTACTTACATTTCCCTTCTAGCAATAACTAGCCAACCTGCCACCACTGTATGTAGCTGAGGTCAGACAGTTAGCACCCTTGGTAAATCCACTGTAAATGAGCGCTGGCATTCGAGTCACAACGTCGACGCTTTGAGAACTGTTATATTATGTTGTACAAATACCATAATTAAAGATTCATTTGTACAAAATTGCCCATACATTTTTTTGCTTTTAGACCAGTATTAAAACTATACGTAGGTATAAAAACGCATGACTCGGAAGTAGACTTAGGTACGTCTTGACTCTTAAGTTTGTTACAGATCAGGTACGCGGCAAAAATATTGAATTATCACACCCTGGCAAATCAATTAAATTTCAATACAGAAATTAAAATTTCTGGTACATACATACATTCTTACACCCCCCTCCACTAGCAGATATGCTTTGCTACATCCATATTTAGAATTAGGTACCACAAACAAATCGGTTAAATTTTAACAGAAATTAAAATTTCTTGTAGATTCTCATATCCCCTCAGGTCACTAGCAAATGCTTCACTGTGTCCCTGTATATTAATACATGTATTTAGAATATGAACGTGAAATTATAAATACTATATGTGTTTACATGCTGTTATTCCATCCAAAATGTGTAGATAATCGGTGGATATGTTCCTGTTGTAGAAAGGGAAGAATTTCATGTCCAACCACTAAAAGACTGGGGTGGTAACCTGGATATCTTTTTAATACACATTCCTGGTTCAGATGAAAATGGACGTTTTGAGGTGAACTACTCTTCATCTGCTTGCCAGTGATTCTATCTTGGTATTCTCGTATATCATGACAAAAAATTACCAGGTCATCTGGACGCTGAATAGGAGGATTCAGAATGTGCCCATCACAACCGTAACACTTTGATACTTTTGTTCCCTGAACCATTTTAAATAAAAAGGACCAGGCAACAAAGAGTGAATTTGACTGACTGCATGATTGGTCAAGATGTTACTGGATACTTGATTTGGGTTGGACATTTGACTGACTGCTTGGTTGGTTGAGATATTACTACCAGTAGTAGCAGATGATGACATCGAAGAAAGACCAAACTGTTGAGATTGGTACTGGTTTGATGAACCAACAAAATTTGATACATCAGTTGTGGGCATAACCATTGAGGGGTAAGGATGTGTGAGCACTGGTGGAGCAGGAGCGAACGGCTGTTGGCATTCTGCAGTGTGTTCTTGCCGATGTTGAAGGATGTGGAAAAGACGCAGGATACTGTTGGTAAGTCGTATCACTTGAGGTACCATTTTCTCCAGGATCATTGCAGAGTAGATCGACATGTTTATTAATTGGTGGCGGTTTTGCAATCGTACGTTTTCTTCCAGAGGGTTTCCTACCTGCATTTTTTGGCCCTCCCTGCTCCACCATATCCATCATTGTTGGACACTTTCTCTTCCGTTTGAACCAAGCAATGAACTCATGTAGTGTTCCTTTCGTCTGTGCCACTGCCAAGACGTGTTCGCAAACTTGGTTGGCATGGTTAATGCATGTGCGATCACACGCTAAGGAACCACCTTTCCCTGGATTCACACTGTGCACGTTATTAGAAGAACCTGCACAATGTAAGAACCGTCATCGGCACCAGGTTTTGGAATAACACTTCCCGGTGATGCAAGCAAGTTATTGGCTCTCACGAACATTGCGTCAAGTATAGGTGCAGGAATTGTGGTTATTCCGCTTTCTTCCACAGTTATGCTGAGATGTGACGCTGGAATATCGTCTTCGTTTGGTTGACACAAACTGTTGATGTCATTCATACTATCCATTCCAGCTTTCTTAAAGTCTACCAACTTTTTAGTCACTTGAGCATGAGTCATATGACTTCTTTCCACGTCTTCAACAGTCAAGTGGCTGAACTCTTTCCGAACTCTGAACGGACCTCTCCCAAAATGGCGTGGTCTTCGTTCCTCTGCTGAGTTTCGATAATGTTCTTAATTTTTTCCACAAATTCATGCGGCTTACTGGTGGTGAAGTGTAGACCGTGTTTAATAAGAAAATTTGCCGATTCGGGATCATTGTTTGTGTATTGTAAGGGAGGGTCTCCAAGTCCTGCTTCTTTTCGCACTGGTTTCAGCATGGACTCCTTCATATCAGCCGCCTAGTAAAATAAAGGCAAGTCTTTTAATTTTGAGAGGCGTACACAGGCAATTAGACTTGGTTGAAGTCTGTCTCAGGAGAAAAGTGAGCTTAAGCAAGTGACGTTTTTGACAACACGGACGTTGACCGGAAGTAAAGTTGACGTTTTTCACCAATCACAGCCCTTGACCCAGTCTTCTGACGTTACTCATGCCGTTCGTGTTGTCAAAAACGTCACTTGCTTAAGCTCACTAAAAGTGGGGAGAGACGGACTTGGAACATTTGCAGCATTTCGAATGTTACTTGTGAAAATTGGCGCGAAAATTTGTTATTGTTCTCAACTCGCAAGCCACGTCTCTGTAGGAAAAATCCGACGGTACTATTTGGCGCGCTTACATGGTATCTAAATCCATCTCTCCCTACTTTTATCTCTACCTTTTTTGACCGCTCGCGTGCATCGCTATTTTCAACCCCTTGAGAGAAGGACTTGAACCAAGTCTAACAGGCAATTTGTTTTTATAACACATTTTCATAGACATTAAATGTTCAACCCAACAACAGCCTTTACATGCATCATTTGCAACGCATAGCGCATATTGTTTTACTTACAGTAAGAAATATACGACGAGTCGCTTACACAATTCCCTCGTATTCCCTCACATTCCACTTGTGCATTATAACACCATAAACGCACGAGACGAGTTTTTCTATTTCCTTTATAATATTATTGAGCACTATTATCAAAGCACGATTCCCAAGTTTGTTGTGAATGTTCCGAATCATATTTCTAAATTACTAGTTTATGTTGACTGCTTTAGTTCGATACTTCGGTTTTTTAGTCAACTTCGCAAGTTCCCTACCCAATATTCCAAATTTAGAAATGTAACTTGAAATATTCGCAACAAATTTGGGAATCGTGCTTTGAAAAGTGAGATGAAATCGACATTAAACAATTAATGAATGAGGTTCAGCATAATATGAAGACTGTGGCGTAGCCACAAGTGTGGGGGGGGGAAGCCAAGGCATAGTGCATGAGATTGCGTGCTTTGAAGCAGCCCCCCCCCCCACACTTGATCGAATCTGGCAGAGGTTTGTGTAATCTGCCGAAGTGAAGCTGATAACACAGAGGCCTCAATAATTCATATTACGCGAAAACCGAATGCACTTACAAACTGGTTTGTGGTTCATTATTCATTGAAAAAATCTTGATGGCTAATTGGCTAAGAACCATCAGGTAAATCGTACATCCTATCCGCTGGCGATGACGTAGTATAGCGTTGGATATGAGGATTTATAATATAGTGTTTATAAATTCTGAACGCTGACTGGCTAAGAGCCGTGTTAATATAACTCAATGCATGGGTTTCACACAATTTCGAGTTTTTTCAATTTCCATGAGTGTTGATATAACTGTATATCAATACGGAAAAAATGTTTTATATATTTGTTTTATAATATAGCACAAAGAAATAGGAATGTTTGGTATGAGAAATTTCTGGTATCAGTATACCGAAAAAATTATACCGATATTATCGGTATACCGGTTTTCCTTTGATAATTATAAAGGAAAATTCTTTAATGGAAATTTGAAGGAAATTTTGAGAAATTCTATAAGGGAAAACCAGGGCTGGAGCTATGCTGGGAGGGGGGGGGGTGACACCCCCCCAGAAATTCTATTCCAAGCTTCAGTCGGCAGGACTGCTATTTCAGTCGGCAGACAAAAATATTTTTGACAAATAAAACTATGGTGGGTGATGTGTGTCAAAATTCAATAACACATTTGGCAATGATAACGTAACATTTTGCTACAATAACCCATTTGGCAACGATAAAGTAACCTTTTGCTACAATGTTGTGGCGGTTACAAGACATTTATTAACAATAACAAAACATTCAATGACAAAGTATTATTTTGCAACAACATAAGCGTATCGTTTTAATATTTGCCAACAATCGTACATTTGGCAAGTACAATCCTGTGATGCAATTGGGCACTAGCTCCAAATGGCGCGAAAACGGTGCATAAATGGTGCGTAATTGTTTTCACACAAAATGTCGATCAAGATATCGAAGAAAACGGAGTACGAACTGCTCTTATAACGCGATTGGAAATGTTATTGACTGATGTAACAGAATGCCTTTCAACAGAGCTTGATGATGTTATTAATCATATTCGCGATTTTTCTGAAGACCTTTATCGATGCCTAGCAAATCTGACAGCACGAAATCCCGAAATTTACAGCGAATTGCTACATCAGGCCAGACTTCTCGTAGATGTCATACAACGTCCTATTTTGAAAAATGAAAATTACGGACCGGAAACATTGGAAATCATCCTAAGGTCAATGCCAGGTAGACCAAAATTTGAAATTTTTGAGACCAGCTGCATTATTTGCAGATGTATTTTGTGGTGAATTGGCCACACCATCCAGTAGCTGTACAATTATATATCTAGCTTGTAGTAAAGATGACTGAATATCATCTGACGCCGAAGCTCTCTCATTTTCCGCCATGTTTACTTAAAAAAGCACATGTAATCCAATATAGCGAAAATAATTACGCGCCATTTTGCACCGTTTTCGCCCCATTTGGAGCTAGTGCCCAATTGCATCACGGGATTGTACTTGCCAAATGTACGATTGTTGGCAAATAATAAAACGATACGTTTACTAGTATGTTGTTGCAAAATAATACTTTGTCATTGAATGTTTTGTTATTGTTAATAAATGTCTTGTAACCGCCACAAAATTGTAGCAAAAGGTTACTTTATCGTTGCCAAATGTGTTACTATTGTAGCAAAATGCTGCGTTATTGACAAATGTGTTATTGAATTTTGACACACATCACCCGCCATATAAAACTACTACCGATATGATTTTCACCTGTTATATAAGAAACGGAAATTTTGGTTACTCGAAATTTACTCACCAGATTGACAGTTAATTGAGTTAAACGACATAGCAATACAAAGTATATGTAGCATATTTGATAGGTAGAACCGCTGAACACAATATATTGCTGCCAAAAACTCAATTATCAAATATGGCGATTTATAATAGGCTTTATTTAGAGCACAACAGGCGTAACTTCAGGGACCGCGGAACAGGGGAGGGGGCAATAATTTCCATACATATGTAATTTTTATAAACTAAGAATACTGAAATCTTTCAGATCAGTTCACAATATATTTATAACTTATTAGTATAAGTATTCAATCTATTTCTGGTTGGTTTAAACAAATGACGGGTAATGTTAGATTAATGCCCCAGTTACACGATACCGGATTCGTATCGGAGCGACATCAATTTAAGGTGTTTCCCAGTCTTGTCTGCTATTACAACTTTTCATATATGAAGTTTTTGTTTAATTATGTTATATTATCAGAATTTTAAGTGCCAAATTCACCTTGAGAAAAATCCGGTATCGTGTAACTGGGGCCTAGAAGTCGTCTATTAAGAAACTTTTTAACAGCAACTAGTAAATTTGGTTGCATTTCCGGGGCTCTGGGAAGTCTCAGATTTCAAAATTTCACGGGGGAGCATTCCCCCGGATCCCCTGACAAACTCACGCCTTTGACGTTCGCTGTACCCGCTTTTTAGATAAATGGCTCCGTAGTTGACCTCCATTGGAAATTCCACAAGCTTCCATGGCTAGCAGGTGGTCGGTGCAAGCTCGTTTGTCAGTCGGTTAAAATGACCTTACACCCCCCTGAAAAATTTCCTGGGGAAGGCCCTGGGGAAAACGATAATTTCGAAGCTGTTTCGCACATGTTTTGAACGACACGTCACATGTAAAATCTCATGAAGTGGAAATTCTAAATCATTTCAGTAGAAAGTTCTTTGAATTGCCATTCAGTAGTAAAATAAAGGTTATGGTTTCGCCATATAGTTGGTAAATTTAACACAATATACCGGAAAAAATTCCGATATCGGAAATTTCGGTATATCGGTATGGTTGAATATCCGGTATCGATATACTGATATTGATTTAATACCAATATTTTCGGTATATCGGTATACCGAACAGTCCTACAGTTGAAAGAAATATAAAGAAAGAAATTTTCCGACGTTCCTTGTGTTGACATTGAGTTATATCAACACGGCTCTTAGCCAATCAACGTTCAGAATGTAAAAATGCTATATTTTCGTTTTCCCAATTTCCACTTGTGTTGATAAAACTGTTTTACAAATGTGCACGGAAAATTTTTATACTAGTTTCTTAAATATCCCACGCAGCTACCGTGCTACGTCATAATTGCATTTACTGTACTGTCCCACGCTGAGACGTCATCATGCATGCGCATTTATCCTGCGAAACGAAACAGAAGGGCGGGGAAAAACGAAACATTCAAATTTGTGAACGTTCTTTCTCATATGACTCACATTAGGGACGGACCATTTGATTTTTGATGGGGGTGGGTGGGTAGATTTTCAGTTTGCTCAATATTTTTTTTCCGCCTCCTGACACTGTTCGATTTTTTTTGTCCGTCAGAGGACTTGCACAATATTTTTTTGTATGCATGTATATACATTTTTTAGTTTCTTGTTTTTACATTTTTTTGTATATAATAGGTAATTGCACAAGTACTGGTGTAAGACATTGTGTAGCCTAAATAATGGGAGGACCAGTGTTCAAAAAATGGTTCTTCATTTCTTTACTCCGACTCCTATGATGAACATGTAGGGAAACTACGATTGTATATAGAAACTAAAGTAGGTGAAATTTTTTGGGACTCAATAAAAGGTGAGGATATAAGAGTGAGAGATTGAAATTGAGTATAGGAAAAGTAACCCTACACGCGTTTCGACCTAACGGTCTTCTTCAGCGGGGTTTTTT